CGGGAGGTGGGTCCAGGAAGGGGCACTACTACTACTACTACTACTACTACTACTACGACGACTACGACTACGACTACGACTACGACTACGAGTATTACTATCATTACTACTATTACCACTATAACTACTTACTAATACGTACTACCACGTACTTACTACTACTTACGAGTTGCCACTACCACTACTAAATGACATTTCGTTCTATTTACGACTACTACTACTACTACTACTACTACTACTACTGCTACTACTACTACTACTACTACTACTACTACTAACACTAGCACTAAGACTACTGCAACGAGTAGAACTACTGCTACTACTAGTACTACCGCTACTACTACTATTACTACTACTACTACTACTACTACTACTACTACTACTACGACTACTACGACTACTACTGCTACTACTACTACTACGAACACTAACACTAGCACTAAGACTACTACAACCAGTAAGACTACTGCTACTACTAGTACTACCGCTACCTACAACCAGTAAGACTACTGCTACTACTAGTACTACCGCTACTACTATTACTACTACTACTACTACTACTACTACTACCACTACTACTACTACGACGACGACGACTACTACTACTACTACTACTACGAACACTAACACTAACACTAACACTAAGACTAACTACAACCAGTAAGACTATTGCTACAATTAGTACTGCCGCTACTACTACTACTACTACTACTACTACTACTACTACTACCACTACTACTACTACGACGACGACGACGACGACTACTACTACTACTACCGCTGACAAGTAGCAACTGTACCTGAAGCTAGAACTACAATTGGAAGTACGCCTGAGCCGCATAAACATATCAAAAGACTACAAGCACCAGTGGCATCAAAGGAACTTTAACAACATGTTCTTGGCTCCGGCAAGGCCGACAAGGCACTCAAGCTCGCAGATCGAGGACTGCGCGCAGCCGTCAAAGCGAAGGACGAGTTTGTGTGATGTTCTCTGTGGGTTTTCGACGACTAGGTTTCGGTTTTGGTCCATTTCGCAGGGTGGGGGAAGGGATCTCTTGTCAGGTTGGGAGGATTCCCCAAAAGCTCTAGGAACAAGTCATTCAACAAATAATTGCCTTCGCATTGCCCCGTAGGACAAGCGCAACGAAGCACGTGCTCGACAAATGCAGGCTGGGGTTGGAATCAAAATTCCACAGCAGCTCCTTGGCACCGACACTTTGAAGACTTCTGCACTTCCTGCAGAGATCTCGGCGCGAGGCCCTGGTTCTCAACGAGCTGGCACAGCAAGATCCGATGGACATCGTCGAGGTGTGGATACACAGAGAGCCCGACAAGCCCACGCGAAAAGTGTGAAGATATCACAGATCCAATGACTCCAGCATAAGCTTTAGGACAGCATCGTCAGGTGACCACAAGTGCTGCCAAAGCGCTGAAGGCCGACTTCTGCCGGGGGAGATGGTTGGTGTTGGAGGCGATCTGAGGTCGGCGGTCAAAGCATTTAAAAATTGCAAGGTCAGAGCTCAAGGCTAATCTTGAATCCTTGATTCTTCATTCTAGTGTCTGTCTGTGGGTTTGCTCGTTTGTGCATCCATCAGCATGTCGGTCAGTCGGTCGTTCTGTCTGGCTGTTGGTCTATGTACTGAGCTTGATCAATCTCCCTTTCATGGCTGGGTGTTTGGGAGACTGGGCTGCTCGTGTGATCTGTTCTGCTTCTGGATTGTCTCAGATGTTTGCTGAGGTTCTTTTGCCATAGCGCTTCGGCATATGTGATGTGTGGCTTCAAGGTGTTTGCTTAGGAGCCTTATATAGGTTGTATTCTTTGGTGCTATTAACTATTAGCCTTAAGCTTGGCCTTAATGACACCAATCGCTTTGCCAACCGACAGCAAGAACCCCAACCACACGGGATTCTGCATGGCACCTCGAGACCCCCTGTGCAATGCAGCATTAAGCCAGCGGATGATTCCACGGAGGATAAGTTGTCAACGGCTTAACCTTCGATTGATTTCAGACGTGAAGGCACTTCTGCCTATGCGGCAACTCTTTCAGATTTCAGGCTTTGCAGCTCCATGCTCTTGTTGTCTGGTGTCCTAACCCTAACTAATCATAAGGCCATAAGGCCGCAGTACCCAAAGCTCCAGGTCGCTGGCGACCGAAGCGGTGAACTTTGGACCCTGCGCCTCCAAGCGCTGCTTCTGTGTGAGGCCTTGCTGCCCAAAACGGTATGCTTAGTGTCTTTTTGTAATGTAAAACGTGTAGCTGCTCATGGGTCTCATGACGGTGCATGTTGACTCACCCAGAGAACCTCACTGAGTCAGTCTGAGATGGGGTCGCAGCCTGAAGTCTTGAAGCCCAAACTTCACAACCCGAATCCGAAACCAAAGCGGTCTCGAGGTCTTGAAGATCGATGAATCACTTGCAGTGGTGAAAAGGCCGGTGGCGTGTCTTTACACAGGGCTTCGTCGACAACCCTATAGCCATGTGGACCTGAGTAATTATGTACTGCTGTGGGGGCCCCAAAACAACCCGAGTACCTTCTGAATCCAGGATGCAGGTGCTTGCCAGCGAAAGTGGTCATTCAGACCGAGAGGCTCCGCTCCGAGCACATGCCAAATGCTTCAGGTCAAACAGAAAGGTTCAAAGCTTCGCTTTCCAAGTCCTACCTTAGAGGGTTTTAGCCGGGCTTGTGGTGGATCCAAAGAGCAGCGTCGGTTCTGTCAGCTGTGCTTCGGATATGCCATGCTTCGTCTAGCTGACGAACCCAGACTCCGATCACAAACTGAATCCCCTACTCCTAGCCATGCTGTCGCTTGAAGGGCTTCTGCAGGTTGACTTGTTGGCTCGTAGAATCTCGTAGAATTAGCATTCGGGATGAGTTTCCGGATGTGTGTTTTCCAAGTACGGTGTCAAGCTACGCTGTTGAAGTTGCTCTGGGCTTTAGGAGGGTTCTGTCGAATCTGCTTTCTGGGCCCTGCGCACACCAACGCTCGTGTGCAGCTTTCCTTAGCGTTGCTTCTGAGAAATTCTTTTGATTTCTGGTCTGAGAAGCAGCTTTCGGCCGTCGCCTCCAGGCCATGGCCGAGCTGACCCATGCAGAGGCAAATGGCCAAAAAGATGCGGGTTTCCATAGCCGGGCATTACGACCGGCTCCTTCGGCAGATCCAATCGGTTGAGCTTTGCCAGAAAACCCGAAAATTTCATCACAGAGGATGAAGCGCCTGAGCTTCTTGCGCAGGTCTGCGTTGCAGTGGGGCTACCCCGGTATGCAGAAGGCTGGGGACTTTTGCTTTTCTGTTATGCTGAGATACACGTTCAAAATCTCTAGGTCTAAGAGTTCTCGCGCCAGGGTTGGCCGAGGGGTCGAGGGGTCAGGGTGATAACGCCTAAGGGCCTAGAGCAGGTGAATGATCTGGTTCGGGATACGACGTTGCTGGATGTGGGCTCTGGGATGTTGGATTTGAGGTCTGGTTTAGGTTTGGGGCTGACTTTGTTGGCAATCTGGTGTCCCCATCTAAACCTTCAATCCGTGCATGTCAGAAGCACCATATTCAAGTTGCTGACCACTTATCGTGCCCCAAAGCTCTTTGCAAACGTTGACAAGCTCCGCAGTGAGGTTCAAAAAAGGAACCCTAAGCCAACCTTCAGACCCACAGTTCCATACTCGGCATATCGTGTAACATAGTCAATGCGAGCTTGAGAAGTTCCAATTTAATCTTCGGCGCTTGGGCTGTAAGAAGCGCTCCAAGCCTGAAGTCTGTAACTCCTGGGCCACAGTTCCCCGCCCTCAACAATCCTTTGTTTGACTCTGCCGAAAGCTTGTGAATTGCAAAGCCTTGGTTCGGTTGACTAGGCAAAGATGCCGCGAATGTGGCGTTGTGCCCTGGCATGGGCTGGCCGGCTTCAGGGCCATTCTCAAGAAATCTCATGGTACTGCACGGGGTCTTGAGGAAGCTCCACTAACGAAAAGATGCACCAGAGACCGCATTTCCAACATAAGGTAGGGGGCCAAATTTGTCCCGTCCTTTGGTTGTTGTTGTTGGCCCATCATTGTTTCTTGCTCCGGCGGCAGCAGAAGGAATGCAGGAAGGAAGTAATCACGGAAAAGACTGAAGGCAGGAAGACAGGAAGGAAGGGAGGACGGTGGGAATATAAGAATGAAAAGAATAAAGGAAGGGCATACATAGTATGATGTAGTAGTTACATATCATCATCGTGTTCAGACAGCTTGTGTATGCAAAAATGTACAGTACTGTGTACATATATATATATATAAGTGTGTATTCCAGTATGCCGTATGTATAGGGTGTATGTATATATACCGAGAAAGAGAGAGAGAGAGAGAAAAAAAAAAGTATACACGGTATATAGTACAGTGTGTGTCTATGTAGTATGTAAAGTAAAAAAACATGTACATACAGTACACATAGTATCTGTAAATAGTATTTACAGTTCATGTAGTTCGAAAAGTACATGTCGCATATATAGTGAATACCATCTATCCGTGTATATATATATATAAACTTTATAGCAGCAAAAGCATATCCAAAACATATAACACGTAAAGTAAGTATAGCATATGCATATCTGCCTGTGTATTAGCAGTATGTGTACCGTACTTATCTCTATAAACATGTATTTGGGTTCATATGTACTTTATATATATATATATATATCATATTCATGTACAGGTGATGAAAATATACGAACTGGTATATGTGTGCTTGTAAATATACGCATATTATATGTATCTGTTCTCGCTCACGGATCAGGAGGCAAGAATAACATGTATGTGTGTGTGTGTGTGTGTCTATACTTTCTTTATATATGGTACCTGCCCCTGGACCAACCTCCGCCATGAAACTGATCACGTCCGTACTTGTGTTGCTGCGAACTGATACCGAAAACCCTGTAAATACCTATAAATTCTGTGTTGGTTCTTATGGTCTTAAGCTNNATACAGTCTCAAAAAACATGTTACAATTTCGTGATCTTGTGCTGTTATGTACTTTCCCGTTCTCTCTCACCGTCTAGCGGTATTTCATTCATGCTTTCTTCCCAAGCAATACACTCAGATAGTCTTTTCGTGACTTCTATCATCAGTCTCCATGCTTCGCCCTTCGTCGAGACGAAGATATTGTCAGTTTTAGTGTTAGTGCTGTCAATGCAAAAGCCAATCTCAGTGTTAGTATTCGTATCAATATCAGTATTAGTACTAGTCTTACCATAAGTTGATAAAGCAGTACGAAAAAATATTTGTCTAGTATTCGTGCAAGTATTCGTATCAGTCTTTGTCTTGGTCTTAGTCTATGTCTTCGTCTTAGTACTAACACCAAGAGTTTCTAGTTGGCCTCAGGGCTGGTCCCTCTTGGTAATTTCCAGATACGGTTTCAATACGATTTGGATACGATTTGGGGATCGGTGTATCGGGTTATGGTATCGATACGGTGCAGATACGTTTTGGATACGTTTTGAATACGGGGTTCGGTAGGGGTCCCGGTAGGGGTTCTGATAAAGGTTCCAATACGGGTTCGAATTGGGTTTGGATACGATTTGGCTGCCAGGTCGGGCCCCCGAATCGCCGAAGCTGTGGCTCCTCCCCAAGGAAAAATAAGGGTTTGGCTATGATTTGGATACGAGTTGGCTGCCGCGCGTGGTGGCCGCCCCGGGGGGTTTTCGCGGGGACGGATGCGGCAGCCAAATCGTACCCAAATCGTATCCAAACCCCTATCCAAACCCCTTTTTTTCCTTGGGGAGGAGCCAAAACTCGGCTTCGGGAGGTTTTCGAAGCCGAGTTTTGGCTCCTCCCCAAGGAAAATAGGGCTTTGGATAAGGGTTTGGATACGGTTTGTATAGGGGTTTGGATACGATTTGGACACGATTTGGCTGCTGCATCGGGCCATGGGCACCTCGAAAACATCCCCAAACCGAGTTTTGGCTCCTCCCCAAGCAATAATAGGGGTTTGGATAGGGGTTTGGATGCGATTTGCTGCTGCATCGGGCCGTGGGCGCCCCAAGGAAAAATAGGGGTTTGGATACGATTTGGGTACGATTTGGCTGCCGCATCCGCCCCCGCGAAATTGTCCCGAAGCCGAGTTTTGGCTCCTCCCCAAGGAAAAATAGGGGTTTGGATACGGTTTGGATAGGGGTTTGGATCAGGGTTTGGATACGATTCGGCTGCCGCGTCGGGCCCCGCCCCCGGAAACCTCCCGAAGCCGAGTTTTGGCTCCTCCAAAACCGCTAGGACTCAACCTGAATCTGGACCCGCATGCTCGGCCCTGCCAGTCAATGTCGCATCGCATCGGCGCCCCTACTGGAACCCGTATCTGGAACACATGAAGGGAGCCAGGAGGAATCGTATCCAAACCGTATCCCAACCGTATCCAAACCCCTATCCAAGCCCCTATTTCTCCTTGGGGAGGAGCCAACACTCGGCTTC